TGAACCAAACTAGCAGGGAATGTGTGAGATCTTTAAAGTTCTCAGGTTTGGGCTATCACATCTGGTATATTAAATCTGACGTTTCCAGTGTAGTAAAGCCATTTCCTTTTATTCTTTCTTTAGAAAAAACAACAGAACTGTAAATTAAACACAATCTTCTCCTCAATTCTCAATTCCATGCTATTTTAGTTGACGAATCGGGTCATGTAATAATAAAATTCCTGCAGAAATACGATCTTAACTGTGTAACCTTCAAATTGCAGTTATGCTGCTGTGTGCATTTAATACTGTACTTGACATTCACCTTTTACATTTCACTTCTGGATGACATTAGAATCTGCAAAAAAGACCTCCTTCAGCTCTCCCAGGTTACCACTTATTTCAAAGTATCCCCAAGGTCTCCAGCACCATTTAGATCCAACTTGCAAAAGTCACTGCTATGAGCAGTTTTTGTGGGTCCCTTGAGCGGTTTCTGAAAACAGGTTCCATTGTGTTCATATTATGCTTTCAAATTTTATGGCTTATTTTTAAATTACATGTTAATTTCTAAAAATGTTAAATTGCGAGAAAAAGCTGGCAAGGACCACACAAAATCACAGCACTGTTCTGCAGTTTCTGTCTCTCTGTAGTACTTATGTGCATGGCTACAGCCTTACATTTAAGTGCTCTGTAGGAATGTGGGCCTGATCCTGCAGAGTGTCGAGGGTCTCATCAGAGGTGCTCAGTGTGCTGCAATAAATGATCCAGGATCATGCTTTATAAATCACCAACATTGCAGGATCCAAAGGAAAGAAAGAAAGGAAGGCGAGAGGAAATAAAAAGTCAGTAGTAATGAAAACATCAGAAACAGAGCGCACTCCTGAGTATAAATATCTAAAAATAGAGACCAAACATCTTCAAAAATCAGCCAGTCATTCAAGCGCTTGTTTAAAACCACCCTCTCTTCCAGGCCTGCAAGTCTTGAGTTTCCTCACTGTTTTTATTTGTTCTGGCTTTTCTACTATGCTAAGAAACATATAAAGTGAAATCAATGAAAAATCTGCCTACAGGACTCCCTGTCCTGCCATTTCATCTCATTTTCTCTTGTTTAAATTTTTTGCTTTCCTTCACTAGACAACGATATCCCAGAAAGCTGGGAATTTTTCATTTCCTTGTGTATAATGATACAGAACATTTTGTTTCTGCAGGTGACTGGCAATGGGGTACTCAGGGAGCACTGCAGCGTGATTACAGAAAAGTCAGCATTTTAGTGATCCGTAAACCAAAGACTGACATTGCCTCTTTAGATTTATATTCAGCTTCACAACAAACATTAGATCTTTTCCTTGTAGACTTCTAGAGTGCTTGTTGCAGTCAAGACTGTTATTTCTGCATGCATTTGTACAACAAATACAGGTAGACAAGTCTGGTTTCACTTATTCCTGTCACACAGAGAACCCGCTGTGAGTGACTGCATGCCAAGCAGTTAGTGAAAACCAGTTCTCCAACACGGATTTTTAACTAAACAAAAACACTGAAATAAGCCTTTCAGTCATCAGTTTAAGATGCATATTTGACCAATTATCTATTCGTATGTATTGGATTTCAACAGAATCAGTTCAGGATTGATCTGAACTGAAATTTTCTGCTTTAACTGAACGCACACATTTGTATATGTGCTGTTATATCCATAGGAATATCAGCTTAGGACAGAAAGACTTTCAGAAGCCTGTGACATACCCGAGAGGGCTGCACTCTTCCCTGGCTGCTCGGTTCTGCCTGCTCTGTCCCCCAGCAGCAGCTCCCCGGCTCCCCAGCGTGGGCTCTGCACCTGCCAGGGCTCCCACTCGGGGTTTGCCGCTCCTGCTCCAGCTCTGAGCTGCTCCCCATGAACTCAAGGTAACTGCATGGAAGTATGAAACGAGGCTGCTCTGCTGACAGTCAGTTATACAGCCTGTCCTTGATCTTTATGTGGGATTTCCCAGTTGCATGAAGCTGGAGTAGCATATGGTCCCGTGTTTATAAGCATGTTAATGACTGAAATGGGAACCTCTACAACCCGTTTTCCTTATAAACTTTAAACTGCAATTTCTTGTTTTTGTTATTGGACACTGCACTCATTTGCTGTTAATTTGGCACGGGCTGTTGAGACACACGTGGCCACACTGACCCCGGGCACTGGGCAAACAGAGCGGCTCCAGACACATTGATGGACCTGAAATCAAGGTCCAGCCCCTAATCACAACCAGACAGGGTGAGTAAGCTTTCTTACTCATCATCTGCTACAAAAAGTTACCTTGCCAGGGAAGCACAATAAAGAATTTGTTTAAACTCCAGTGATTGCCTGTCCTTACAGGCACAATGACGTTGCCAACCATTTCTCAAAAATAAAACATCAACCAGTTTTCACTCTGTGCTTTTTGAAATACTGCTTAAAATGTCTTCATAAATTAAATTGTCTAGTAGGGGTTTGACAATTCTGCAACATCCTTTGTGTTAAAAATTAGCTATTTTGCTCTACAAAAAGATGCAGCAGGGAACTCCTTGTAAACAGCAATACCTCACTTAAAAGCACACTTGACACTTTCAGGAGGGCAAGAGTGGTAAAGTCAGCCATACCCTGTTACTTGCTTAACCAAAATGTATGACAGCTATTTTTGAAAACACAGATGCAGGTATGGTGCAGTACTGCACTGAGAACTGCCAACCCAGGTATTCAAAGTACAAAGAAAAATCAGAAAAAAAGTAAATCATCCTTATTTATCTCTCCCTACCTAACAATATGTGGATAATTTCATCTATTTCAAGGTAAGTTTCATAAATGGACAATAACTTGGAAATACCTGCTTTCTTCATGAACAGCTTAATTCCTGCACATATATCATCAGAAAATCATTAATGGGACTGCAATCTTGTAACTGAAAAAACAAAAGCCTATTTGTACCTATATTTCCTGAATGTTCACACATATCTAGCAACGATATAGCAAAAAAGTCATGTATATACACACATCATATGTATATCACGTGCATATATATGATCTTTTTTTCATTCTATATACTGCTCATCTGCTTTTGAAGTGCAAAAAGAATAAAACTATATCCTAAGAGCTGCTGGTCTGTTCTCAAAAAAAAGTGAAAATGTTAAGGAAGATATTAGGAAACTGACTTAAATACAATCTCAAGAGGAGTTCTAGGAATATCACTTACAAACTTTAAGGGCAAATATACTAGTTTTTAGTCATTCCAGCACAGCTGGCGAATTTACACAGTTACAGCATGCCTCCCTCAGCCTTCACATTAATGACCATATTTTTCAGTGCAGCTTGAAATTTGTCAAGAAGAACTTAACCCAGTAGCAAATTTATTATAAATTTTAAAAAGTCATGCATCCATTTTTAGGTTATGGTATAAAGTACAGAAAAACAGAAGTTTACATATCTGAGCTTCTGCATCTGTTCTTGGGTAACTTTTCACTTAAAAATAAAACTTGGCAGACAATATACTTGTAATGCAGACCAAATGCATTTGGTATGTTCAGGGAAAAAAATTAAATTAACAGAGAGAGTTTATTTTGAAACTTATTAATTGAGCACACACTATTCTTTCTCCCCAGGAGATTCCATTTCTCTACAGGGCCCCCACTCATTCTTTGGTCATTCCCAACAACCTGCACACACAAACATCCTCCTAATGCCTACCAACAGAACTCAGCCTTGTGGCCCCTCCACATGGACAAAAACACCCACAGGAAATGTGCCAGAAAAGAAAGAGCAAAGGCTGCAAACGTGAGAGGTGCAAAGGCACCTGAACTTGTCTACCAAGGAAGCCAAGGGGAAACAAGTACAAAATCTAAATCTGTATTAACTTTACTGCAAAATCCTCCAGTACTTTTCAGCAATATCCATCTCCAAAGTGATTCTGCCCTCAGGGTGGTACCAGGCAGAATAATCTGCCAAGAAAGGCCCAGGACAATGTAAGGGGCTGCTACAATGAGTCGAAATCCTGAGACACTGGTGGAGACCTTCAGAGACTGGGATGCAAAATTTCATATTTTTCAAAATGAAATTTTTTTACCTTACGTCCCAAAGAAATAGAGAAGTTTCACAAGAGGAGCCTTCCAGAATTCCCTGCCTCACAGGGACTTGAGCAAGTCTCGATCTTGCCCTGACTTACAGCAATTTACTGGCAGGCAGGCAGTATGAACCAGGCAGTCCCATGTGCCTTGCTCTGACTGGTACCACAGTGGATGACATTACATCACACTGGTATGCTCTTATTGGTAATATTAAAATAATAAACTATGTGTAACCCTTCAAAAAACAGTAAGACGTGGTATTTAATGGCCAAGTCTGTGGCCCCTTAGCTCTGGAGAGTGATGCAGAAATTAATCTACACTAATGCCTGTATTCCTAAGAGATGCATGACCAAAAGGTCACATACTGGACAAGGCACTCTGAGGACAGGAAAGGTGCTGTACAACAGGGAAAAGTGTTCACATGCACACCACTGAAGGGAATATGACTCATGTAAGTGTCACAAACAGCCACCTTGAAATTTCAAAGCCCTCCTCCCAGCTGTGCCCATGGAGAACTTCAATCCTTTTATAGTCCTCCCTTATTGTAATAGAATGCCCAAGAGGTTATTCCTTCCTTAGGCTCGTCTTAGTGCTGACAAAAAGTGGCCTCTAAGTGTCATTTCAAATATTATCCTCATTGCTCTGTTTGAAAAGCAAACCAGCTTCCTTCGTGGCCAATAACAGCACTTAACTGTAATACTCCAGGTTTCTTCTTCTCCAGAAAATGAAAGGGTGGACAGGATTTATCCACTTTAATGTGAAAGGATGGACAGGAGCAATCTATCTCATGCAAGAAGATGGACAGGAATTATCCACTGTCATATGAGAGGATGGACAGAAGTCATCCAGTCTCATAAAAGGCACAATCAGGTGACACGTATTCCAGGAGCCACTGTCTACTGAAGATGTCAGTAATAGAAATCATGCAGAAAAACATCCCTTACCTGTCCGATAGACAAAATTGCCTTCTGTCTCTGATGACGATGGAGACACCAGCTCTTCCTCAAATTCATTGGAACTAAATGAACCAGAATGATTCCTTTGCCTTGTTTTTTCCATCATAGCTGCATTAGTAGCCATGACGTGTCTCAATGAGTCATTCAGGTAACGATTCAGTAAGCTGCTTTTGTATTTGGGGGGTGACACATAATCCTCATTGGCACTTGCTTCTGGTCTCACTCCTGTTTTTATTACTGAACTTTCAGTTTTAATCACAGTGTGATGAACTGGTTTGTTATATCCCCCTTCATTCATATGGTTTCTTGGAGGATTTTCTCCATCTGAAAACAAAAGAACAAAGATACAGTAATACAGTGAGTACTTAATATTTAACATGAGGGTTTCTCTACGTGTTTTGAATTGTGATAAATATAACTAAAACTAGACAGAAATTTTAGCATTAGACACTGATTTTCATTTTCTTCTGTTCATACATTGCTCATAGTAGTTCCCATGATTCTCGGATGCTCCAGCTCTTCAAAATTAATTAGCTGTAGAAAACACTCTTTGAGTCTAATTTGTTCATGAGTAACACAACTCAGGTAGAAAAAAATTGAAAAGTGCCCTAACTCAATTATAAGCATTTTAAAAGCTGTGTGAATAGGCTGATTTCTTACTATCATAACTTGAAATTGGGTTTGCCTGAATACCACAGCGCATTTATGTGCATTTGCTTAAACTATACTCTTAATTGTTCTGCAAGCAATCTTTTCAAGGGAAGTGAGTAGGAATGTGAGTACATTCCCACATTTTTCAAGAAATGTGAGTACAGACTGAAATTGGAACAAAGATATTTGAAACAGTACAAATTGAGACATACTCTTCTAAAAATGCACATACAGATTTCTGACAATGTTCTGTAGGATTTGTTCCTGTCATTGTATCTCCATGTCATAACTGTCTAAAAAAAGTACTCACAGACAGAATTAATACAATAGTTCTATTAAAAATACAGGGTACTTTAAAAAAAAAAAAAGTTAATTTGAGTAAGAAAGACTGCATCCTTTATGGAAAACAGCTGCCAGCAAAATACATCCAAAAAAATAACAGCAATATTCAGTTTACAATCTAAGATGCCCCCCTAAACAGATTCTCCCTTTAATGATGTATATTGCTATAGCCCTTCCATAAAGGAAAATAACAGTCAAGCGATTTCTCACTTCTTTATACCAACAAATGTAATCAATTTTCTCCTGTAATGCAGATTAAAGAAATAGGCTTGTAGAATGTAATGAACTAGCAATTATCTTTCTAGCAACAATGAAATATAATAACATGCAGCCAGATTGCCACCTTGAACAACTTACACAATCCTGCTTTGGAAGGCTGTGTAGTAGTTGGGAGACAAAAAAGACAACTTAATTCGCAAAAAAAAAAAAAAAAGGCAGATCCACTGAGGGTATTTGTGATTAAAAATTAGAGCTAATTAGGGTATCTAAATATATTTTAGTCCGTTTAAAATCGATAAAAGAGCATCAACAAACCTTCAGAGCATGAGTCATCGCTGCTCACGCTGAGTCGCTCAGCATTTCCCTGAACATATTTGTTGTAGAGTTTTATTCGCAAAGCCCAGCTCAGGTCTGGTTGCCTGACAGTGTTCTTCAGGCGGCGTCTTGCATTGGCAAACCAGTTTGAGACCTGCATACAAACATGGGTATTAGTTTCCCTTCAATATTACACAAATAAACAAATCCATAGAGCCCTCAAGAGTTTTATGTATGCTTCAAGGATACAGCAAACAAGTGAAATATGAACAGAAGTCCATGAAATTACCACCGAACAGAGCAGGAATCTCATACAGGAAGGCAAGTTCAGGATTCCCACCCTTCCCAAGTGTTAGCAAAACCACATTATCACAAGGTATCAATTAAGGTGTCCCAAATACTAGTTTTATATTAATCTTATTTTTTCTGTTTTAATTTTAAAGATAAACCCCTGAACTTTCAATATGAACTTTCAATATATTACCAACTTCCTAAATTAAACTAATATCTACTATTCAGGAATTTCCTTTGATATTTATATAGGCTACATTGAGGGTATTGAACAGAAAAAGACATTCTAAATTTGTATATATAAAAGTCCAAATTCTCCCCATGTACTTTAACAGAACTCTTAGTCTGACAAGCCGTGGGCATGAGGAAAGTCCTACACAGAGTACAACGTACTTTGACTCACTGCAGAAATCAACCATTTGCTCTACAGGGCAGCAGATTTTACAAACTCTTTTTGTTTTTGTCAGTCTAGAAATGAGTAAAGATGCAATTCCTCACAAGGTGACTACTAAACAATAGTCTGGTTAGTCTTCCCAAATGCAGAACATTTTCTAGTTTGACATAGTAAAATGAATACATGTTAGTATCCCTCTAGCATACAGGCTCATCACAAAGTCCTGCTCAAACACAAGTATTTCTCAGTGTTTTAGGCACTGAATGACAAAAAAGGCACAGCCTACCCTTAAGTGTCAGCAGGGCTAATTAAACTTCCAAATGGGATGCATGTACTTGCAGTGACTTGGCATGAAAGCACACCTGAGAAAATGCTGGCCTTGATTCTATTGCAACTCCAGAAGATAGAAAATAGAAAATAGTGACAACTCTACTACGAGCAAGGGCAGAGGCAAGTGACCTACATTTTAATGATATTTGCTTAATGATAAATAAGGTGTTAAAAGTACTATTTTACTCTGGCAGGAATAAATGTATTTTGACATGTCCTCTGCAAGAAAGAGGCGGAGTAGCATCATTTGCAAAGGAGAATGTAAAGAATGTTAGCAGCCTACAGCCCTGCTCACATCTTTGTGTTGTGAACATGCACACAGAGGAAGCCAGACTACTGTCGTCATATTCTGACCTGGGAACAATCACACCATTTAATTTACATCAACCTGCAAAGCAAGTCCATACATTTTTTATCAATACATGCTACTTAGAGAATCAAACTGTAGGCCTTAGTGCTGGATTTTGGCCCTAGTTTTGTCATCTTTCTGTGGTAGCTAAGGTTACTGTATAAGTCACACAGAAGTATCTGTCTAATTATTCTGGATCAATAATCTCTTCTAAAGTGATTATGAGAAAAATAAATACCACATGCCTAAAGAAAAAATCAAAGCTTCAGTTCAGAGCCCCAGCTAGAACTTAACAGTGGTGCCTTATGCCTGTCACTTTTATTTTACTTAAAATCACATTTACATGAAACAGGGTTCCACTGGAAATACGGTGAGCCCTGGATCAGTGCTCAGATGGCAAACACATAACTTTACAAGCCATGCAGCTTACTACGACAGGTTAGAAAATCAAAACTGTAGCTGGCAGAGTAAGTAATTTTCACTCTCTTCTGAGGCTACTTGCTTATAATCATCATATTTACACAGTATTTTTTACAGTAAATGAGATAGGGTGGGCTGGAATCCATGCACTTTCTAAAGCTGTTAACAAAGTCACTCCAGACTGCTTAGCTGAAGCAGCAGTCACCTGCTGCATGACAGTGTAATTCTGCAATCAAATATTTAACAGCAGAGGTGAATCAACCCAGGGTCCCAATCAACTGGATTGCAGTTACTGCAGCATTTTACCGAACTGACAGCTTTCCAACCTCTCACAAGAAAGATTTCATTATGCTTCATTTTATTACATACTGAGTTTTTTCATCAGTGAAGTGCCATTTACAGAAAAGATAGGGTAGTATTAGTGTGATTCATACATAAAAGCAATTAAATTTAGCAGGAGTGATTTCTGCATGGTACTCTTGGTTTATTTTTGGGCTCATTCTTCCCATGCCATTGCTTTGCTTTCTGCATATCAATATGAAAAGATGAGTCATATTTTAAGTCTTCTGCTATGAGAGAAGGGAATAGTAGTATTTGATTGTTATTTCATGAGATAAATATACTGCACCTTGTTCTCCTGCTCTTTATGGAGCAGATGATTTCAAGCACCATCACACAGCACATATAAGACAATCAGGGGATCAGGCCCAGCCAGCAAGGATTTCTGAAAGGCAGGTTCTGCTTGACCGACCTGACCTTCATCTATGACAGTGTGCCCCACTTAGCAGATGAGGGAAAGGCTGTGGATGTGTCTACCTGGACATCAGTAAAGCCTTTGACACCATTTCCCTCAGCATCTCCGGGAGAAACTGGCTGCTAATGGCTTGGATGGGTGTGCCCTTTGCTGGGTAAAAACCAGTTTGGGTGGCCAGGCCCAGAGAATGTTGGTGAGTGCAGCTATGTCCAGCTGGTCACTGGTCACCAGTGGTGTTCCCAAGGGCTTGGTATTGGGGACAGTCCTGTTTAATAGCTTTATCAATGATCTGGATGAGGCCATTGAGGGCACCCTCAGTCAATTTGCAGAGACACCAAATTGGGTGGGAGTGTTGATCTGCTGGAGGGCAGGATGGCTTCACAAGGGATCTGGGCAGGCTGGGTCCATGGGCCAAGGCCAGTGGTTCAAGGTTCAACAAGGCCAAGTGCCTGCCCCTGGGTCACAACAAATCCTGCAGTGCTACAGGCTGGAGGAAGTGGATGGAAAGATGCCTGCTGGAAAAGGATCAGAGAGTGCTGGTTGACATCAGCTGAACGTGAGCCAGCAAGTGTCCAGAAGAGGTGGCCAAGAGTGCCAATGGCATCCTGGCCTGTATCAGCAACAGTGTGGTGTCAGACTGGAATTCTTTGACACATGGTCTGCTTTGTATCTTAATTAAAGCAGAGGTGTTTCTAATAATTTTAAGAATCAGACCATAACATTTGGCCAGCAGGACCAGGACAGTGATTGCACCCTTGTGCTTAGCACTGGTGAGGCTGCAGCTTGAGGGCTGTGTCCATTTCTGAGCCCCTCAATTCAGGAAGGACACTGAGGTGCTGGAGAGAGTCCAGGGAAGGATGATAGAGCTGGGGAAAGGTCTGGAGCACGAGTCTGATGAGGAGCAGCTGAGGGAGCTGGGGGACCTTAGCCTGGAGAAAAGGAGGCTCAGGGAATTCCTTACTGCTCTTTACTACTAGCTGAAAGGAGGTTGTAGGTGGGAGGTCAGTCCATTCTCCCAAGTGACAAGTGATAGGACAAGAGGAAATGGCCTCAAATTGAATGAGGGGAGGTTTAGATTGGATATCAGAAAAAAATTCTTTACAGAAAGGATTGCCAGGCATTGGAACAGGCTGCTCAGTGAAAGTTACCATGGTTGAGTCACTGTCCCTGGAAGTATTTAAAAGAAATGTAGACAGGGTGCTTAGGGAAGTGGTTTAGCAGTGGACTTGGCAGTGTGGGGTTAATGGTTAATGATTATAAAGGTCTTTTCCAGCCTAAATGACTCCATAACTGGGAAAGAACAAGTCAGCTTTTAGAAGAGAAACCTTTTACTAAAGCACTAAGCAGCAAACTCACTCTAGCAACTCTTATCCCAAATGCAATTACAACAATGCCCATTAAAGCCTTGGAAGAAAGGAAAGTTAGTCAAATCCATTTAAGAGATTTTTAGGCTTAATCTAGGATGCGGTAATCTCTAGGTGCTTTCCAGCTTTTGGGTACTGGTGCATATTGCTGGAAAATCCTGATTTCTAAGACATCATGAGATTCAACATCACTCTTCAGCCTTGGACAACCTCCAGGTGTGTGAACTGGAACAAGCTGCATGGCCACAGGCTGTACCAGCCAGCACGCTCACCCTGACCTCCAGACACCACCTGTCTCCTTTAAAGACAACAACAATTCTGCCACTCATTTCAACCAGCCCCAAATGTTACACTGTCTATCCAAGAGGTCTGTACAAACCTGCCTGTCTACTGCTGCAGCTTCCACTCACAAAGAGTGCCAGTTTGCACCACACTTACCTAAACCATTACAAAAAGAAATAACCAGAGCTGCCAAAAACATCCAACCTTTCCCATGGTCCCAAACTGTGCTACTTTGATCTCCAAAAATAATTTAAAAAACAAACAAAAAAAAATTGATTTAGATAAAAGCCAGTGGGAAAATCTTTGTCACATAAACCTCCCAAGAAGTATCTTGAAAAAACACATGATGAAACTCAGTATTCTTGTAAAGTAACAATCCTGTAGTTCTTTGAGAAGTAAAAAGACAAAACCCAAGGGGAATCATAATAGATGTTCTTGCCAGCATTCATTTTTTATAGCAGTTCAGTTGTTCTCTAAGAGCATCAGGTACTTATATCAGCATCATGAAATATTGACCCTCTGGCTTTACTTCTGAAGACACATCTTCAATTTTATTGTAATTTGTTCTGCTTCAGTGCTTAAGAGTGGCCAAACTTTCAGAAAGGGAACAGACATCAAGTAATTCTCTTCCTCCAGTAATCCAGATATGCCTTTATAAATCTGAATACTATTAAATCCATAGCAGCACATGACTGATATACAAATCCTTGTATTGAAAAAACCTTCTTTCCAACAATACACACATTCATATTTCTTTCTGGAAGGAATATATAGCCATTTTTCTTTTTTATTTCACAAGAACATCTAAACCAAAACTTAAAATTAAATAAATCAAGCACTGTGGTAATAATACAAATGAAAATGTAGCATATTAATAGGACAAGTTATTGGATTCTGAATTGGAATCTAATTGGAGTAAAATATAAAATGCCTTTTCAAACTATATTGCTTTTTTGGTTTCCTGCTTTGGCAGTTGTGGAAGTAGAAAACTTCGGACTGTTGGACTGAAATCTGCAATAACATTTGCCTTGAGGACTCCCAAAGACCTTGTTGGCCTGCACAGGAGTAAGTCAGCCCAGAATTTGCCCCAGGTTTTGCTACTACTACTTAAGAAACAAGATGATTTATGATTCCTGCAAAATCCTACCTCCTTGAAAGAATCTGACTTTTCTCAGCCGTGCAGTCAGACATTCATCTGGAATAGTCCTCTCACTGTCCCACTGTACCCAAGAGCAGTGGGGTAGGCCAACGTATTAGTAAAGTAGAAAAAATTAATTTAAAATCAGCCAATTGGGTGATAGCAAAACTAATGAAAATGAAGTTGAGGAAGATTTGACATGCAGATATTGCAAACAAAAGTTATTAGTATCTGCATGTTATTAGTTTGTCCTAATAACAAAAAAAAAAAAATAGGGCTGGATGTTCACCTCTTTGTCTCACAGAAGAATCGGTTTTATCTATGCCATGATCCTGAAAAAAGCTCCTTTGGGTAGATGGTACATACTGGAATGAGGTTCCTTAGATGAAAGAGAAGCAGTCAATATTACTATGACCACTATCATCTTCCAGAGAGCTGCTGAAGACCATTTCCAAGGTCGTCAGACAAAAAACAAAAAACCCCCAACCATTCATTCCCTAAGAGGCTTTTTGTCAGAAACTCAAAGGGATATTCAACTTGTGACTTGTGGCTTGTGACGACAAGGCGCCAGCACTTGAGGGATGCTGGGCAGAGGTGGCAGCTGTCACTGACAACAGCCTCCACAGGGGTGGAAAGCTGTGGGAGAAAACACCACGGGACAACACTGAGAAATGTAAAAAGCGTAGGAAATATGAGAGAGGTCAGCAAACCTGAAGGAGTTTAAACCAGAGGAAAGATCATACACTGATTCCTGATTCTCCAACGATGTCCAACAGTATTACTAGATTAGAAAAACAATTTATAGGCAACCCTGGTTGATGCTTTTGCAAAGTGACTCTCTTGGGACAGAAGCAAAGCTTTCCAACAGACACCACAGCCCAGTCCCAACTCTGCTCTTGGTTATACCACTTGTCTGAAAATGCACAGCCTTCAGGAAAGTTATTTCAAATGTACCTAGCGTGACTGAGATCACACCCTGGCATGCTCTCTCTCACTCTTAGAGAACAAAAATTTTGAACTAAATTACAATCTTGCTGGTTTTGAGCATCCAAAAAGTAGGTGTAGTGTGTGTGTTGTTTAGCTCTTTGTGGCTCATGAATTACTGCTGGTGCCAGACATATGTATTTACATCTCATACAGATGCTATCAAATTCCTGGATTAAAAGAGCATTGCACAAAAATGATGGAAAAAACACCTGGGATTTCTCTTTGATGTTGTGCTTCTGTAGATGAAGATAGCTGTGCCTGTTTGCACAGTTCTTTTAAATACTACAGTTCATAGAAACAAAACTGGACAGATTCAGCTTCAGTGTAAATCCACTAAAGTCACAGGGGTATAACAGAGCTAAATGCAGCCCACCCTGATTCTTTTTAACTTTATTCTATACCTTATGTAGATCATAAACTCTGTGGAGAAGTGGCCATGGCTCACTTGACGCTTTTATAAAGGCTAACACATCTTATCCCCATCAGGATTTATCAAAGTTGCCATGAGAAAAATACTGCGAAAACTCATCATTTTTTCCCCCTTCTCTGTTCATTCCGAGGCATTTTTAAAAGAAAAGCAGAACTCCTCAAGATGTCATTAACGTGAAAGTGTCCCAACACATATTCTGGATATATGTTTTAAGTCTCATGTAAAAATACAGGGATATTCTAGGAGCCACAGTTCAATAAAATACTCCTATTGAATTGTGCCATTGAAGGGATTGTGTTTATGTAATCATAGTTTAAACCTTTCACATATATATTTTTAAAAGCAAGAGAAGTTGTTTTAACTATATCTTCCAGTTATAACTGGCATTTTCTGAGACATTAATATTATTTTTGTCAAAGCTATAGTGTTTTTCCTAGTGCAACGGTTTCATAGTGAGGTACTGAAGTGTAAAAGTTTCCCATTTTGCCATTACTAGAACTGAAGTTCATAGCACAGGTTTTTTTGAAGGGGCACTCAAAATAATAAAGCTGAATTACCACCTGCTTTTTTCTAATACTTCAGGTTGCTTTGATCTCTTTGTGTCCTTTGCGAAGTGACACATGATGTGTTAGGCAGAGTGATGAGGACCCAATCCTGCAAACACATGGGTTTCATTTTACACACCTAGCAGTAGCTTGCAGTAAGGAAATTAGATTATTCACAATGCATAAATCTTTGCAGCATCCAGACCTGAGATAGCATCACTCGGCAACTGATAGCATTTAACCACATATTTCAGTAGAGTGCCAGATGGCAAAGAGAACAAAGAAGTGAGATTTATAAACAGTTGCAGCAAAATTTATGCCTCTTACGGCAAGACAACTGCCAGTCACTTCAGGGGAGAATTACCTGAGAGCAAAACAATTACTCCCCATGTCTAATTACATTACAATGATAATTCCTGCAAGAGTGTGTGCTGAGCCACTGCACACACGGGTATGGTAACGTTGATGTCTGTGCAACAGGTGATGACAATTACTATCAGAACAATAGAACAGTCTCCATCCTACCCTCTTTTCAAAAAGGAAGAGCAGCTCCCTGCAATTTCCTCAGCAATTCCTATTCTGTGCTGAAATCTGCCATGACTGATATTTTTTACCTGAGAATTTTTAAAGAGTAAGCAAAAATATTTTCATTGTGTTTATGAATGAGCTGAAAGGATGAGGGCATCTATTCCCAGGAGGGCAAGCACACACTTTTTGCTGATTGTCTTTAGCACTTCTCCAGCCGCGATAGCTCAGATGTGGTAATTCTTGTTTGAGAGAGAGTCCTGCTGAGGTGGGGGAGCCCAGGGGAGAGAGGAAGAAGAATGTGCACAAGTCTTGCTGGCTGCACTGATGCTCCCCGATACCCAGCACTGTCCTTTGCTCAGCTCACAGAGGAGCTTGGACAGATGTTGTCCCCATCCCTCCCGTCCATGAAAAGCCTCAGAGCGGCTTTAGGAGGTGAGGTTAAGGAGTTCCCTTCCTTACCTGCACCAGGGTCATCTGGGAGCCGAGGGCCAGCAGAATCTTCTCCGTCTTGGTGGGGTATGGGTTGTCGCGGTGCTTGTAGAGCCACTGCTTGAGCGGGCGCGCCATGTCCTGCAGCGCCTGCCGCTTGTGCCGCACCTTCCCGCCGCTCTGCCGCGCCCTGCGCCGGAGAAGGGGCTCTGAGCACCGGGACGGCGGGACGGACACCTGCCCGCTCCCCTGCCCGGCCTCGGCCCTGCTCCTGCCCGCTCCCCGCCCGGCCCCAGCCCCGCTCCTGCCCGCTCCCCGCCCGGCCCCGGGCTCCCCTGCTCGGCTGCGGTAGATGCGCCCCGTCCGGGTGCCCAGCCCCGGGTGCGCCCTGTCCGGAGCAGCCGAGCCCCGTCCCCGCGGGGAGCTCAGGGACCTTGCACAGCCGCGACCCTCGTCCCGGATGACTGCTCAAGAGAAGGTGATGCCACCAGTTCCCCCAGCTCCCCGTGGAGGATCTGGGCGAGCGGACTCGGAGCTGGTGAATGGCCGCGGTAATGCTGCGGGCCCGGGCTGCGGGCCCGCGGGGATTTCAGCGGGGCCAGAGCTCCACCGGTGCGAGTGTCCCGATGTTTTCGGTGCTCCGCACCTGACAGGCGTGTGGCCAGTATGTCTACAAAGGGGTTTTGCAGCACGGCCGGCCGCGCATCCCGCAGCTGCGGTGCGCGCAGGGGGCAGCCCAGCCTGATTCCCCTGCCCGGGTTTATTTCCCGCTGATACTCAAGAGATACCCGCCGCATCGCGCAGCTCCTGGATTATTTCCCCCTCGGAGCCGGCGTGCCGCTGCCAACGCCGCCGGCAGCGACGCGAGGCAGCCCGCAAAGCCCCGCGCCTGCCGAGGGAAACAGCGTATGCTGGGGGAACGAAACCCGGACTCCGTAAAAAAAAACAAAAAAAAAAACAAAAAAAAAGCAAAACAAGAAAAATCGTCCCGTTGTAAATAAAGACCTACAAGAAAAAGTGAGTGAAGAAAATCGGAGGAATCCTAAGGAAAGCCAAGAGGCTCGGGCCGGTGGCAGCGCTGCGCGGGGCGGAGGGGCTCCGGGCGGCGCTGGGTGCCGGCGGCAGGGGGCGCCGCGGGGCCGGGCCGGGCGCGCTCTCCCCGGGGCTCCGCGGCAGCCCCGCTCCGCCGCGGCCGGAGCGACAGCACTCCGGGGACACGCACCTGCGTCCTCTCTCTCGGCCAGCACCGCCGCTAAAACTGCCAGCTGATGCAATCGCTAAGGTGGAAATTCGTTCGTACAAGCAGCTCCCCAGGACTCCTCGGTTTCCCAGCCGCCTGACCGTGCTCCTCGATCTTTACTTTGTAACACTGACCTGAAACGTCTGGTCAGGGCTCGCCAGTTCAACCCTCCGAGCTGCGGCTGTCATCACGCCAGAGCTCGCACGTCCTCTCATCACCTTCTATTTCACCTGTTCCAGCATCATTAAAAACCCCTAACCCCCAAAAAACATCAAACCAAAAAAGCCCCCCCAGAAAACCGGCTTCGGGAGGCTTAGCCTCAGCTGCCGTTTTAGCAAACCCGATCCTAATATCACGTTACCCAGTCCCTGACTGGTATCGCGCTAGTCCGTTCTAAATCCCATCCCTGGGAACGCACTGACAACGCAGCTCCTTCTCGCCCGTTCGCTCGGCGCGCTGCGAACTCGCGGGGACGGCGGAACAAGTGCCGGGGCCGCGCCGTGCCCGCCTGCCTCAGCCCCGCAGCCTCGGTACTGCCGGCGGGATCGGCCGCTCCGCCGCCCCGCTCCCCCGGTCTCACCCGTCCCGCCCGGCGCCTCCGTATTGGAGACTTTAATGGCATGAAGCGCCCGAACAAGCCGGTGGAGCCGCGGTGTTCCCGGTTTGTTTTTGTTCGGAGGCAGAGGGGGAGGTCAAACACAGCAGGACAGGAGCGCTCTGTCTGGTACATTCCAGCCCAATCGGACGCCCCTGCATCACCTATTGCGGGTATTTCCCACCGTAGCTGTGGAATGAGAATCCCAGAGAATACGAACCCGGGGCCGCGGGCACAGACCCAGTTAGAAACCCATCTCGCAACCCCAAATCGGCGACGCGGCGGCCGGGAGCGCCGGCAGCCCAGGCAGGGCCGCCCCCGCAGCCGGTGCGCGGAGCGGAGACGAGCGCACGGCATACCCTGTCCGCCGGTTGCGCAGGCTGAGGCTCTCCTTGATGGACGGGCTGTCGGGAAGCAGCACCTCGGCGTGGTGCGGGCCCTCCACCACCCCCACGTAGGACCGGCCGCTCCGCTCCCGCTCCTTGGCGTCCTCCTCGAAAAGCACCTGGCCGCTGAGCTTGCTGAAGACGATGGTGTTCATGGTAGGGGGCTGGGGGCCGCCGTCGTGCTGGCCGCCGGCTCCGAGGTGCGGGGGCTCGCTGTGCGCTGCGGGGAGGCGGCAGCGGTCACCGGGCAGCCGCGCCGAACCGCCGAGACCCGCCCGGCGCGACCGGCGGGGGGGCAGCGCGGAGGCACCGGGCGCCGCCTGCCCACCCACGGGGGGGGAGGCAGCCCGCCCCTCCCACGGCCCGGCCCGCTCTCACGGCCCCCCACCCAACCCCGGTCCGCTTTCTCGGCCCGGCCCGCTCCCACGGCCCGGCCCGCTCGCACTCGCACCTCGCCGCCAGCCTTCGCCGCGCTCCTCGCTCCGTGTCGCAATAGTTCGGAGCGCGGGTTTTCTGTCGGCTTTGGTGTTTCTGTCTCGCTTTCTCTCTCTCTCTCACTCGTTTTTTCCCCCCTTTTCCCTTCCCTTTCCCTCCCCTCCCCTCCCCCGGAATGATTTTCCCCTTCCCCCTCCCCAAACGGGGAGGGAAACAAATTGTTTTTAACGACCACCAAATGCGCAGAGCCGGCGCCCGGAGGCACAGCCGCCGCGCAGCCACTCAAACTGTCGGGACTGCCGCTCCCCAACCCCGGGGGGAGTCACCGCTGGCCAGGGGACCCCAGCAGCCCCAGCAGGGAACGGGCCCCGTGCCCGGGCAGAGCGATGTCGAGGGGTGCTGCGTGGAGGGGCGGGAGGAGACGGCCAGGGGCATCTGAGGGTACGGCAGTACAAGGCCGAGCGGTTCATCCTCCTTACGGGGGAGTCTCTCGGGGAAGGCGGCTGAGGACACCGGCTGGTGTCACGCTGCCCACGGGAGAGACCCCCGTCGAGGGCGCGAGAAGTAGCCACAGCCCCGTGCCACTCATTAACACCGCTGTTTAATGATGCCATGACAGGAACATGGCCAGACTGTGCCATCCCATCGCGCTTACCCGTCTTCTCTCGTGCGCCGTGTGTCTCCCCTACTCCCCGCCCAAGGGTTGTAAATTAGCCCGCACTCCAAGCCGGGAGACAGCCCGCTGCCTTTAACATCCTCGGCGCGTTCCCGCAGACACGATGCTCAGTTGCCGGCCCGCTCCCACGGATGTGCCCCTGTTCCCCCGGCCCCGCCGCTCCGCACCTCCTGCACCCCAGCAGCCCTACGGAGCGGCAGCCTGGCCTCGCCGGGTGCAACGTTTTGGTTTCTGCGCGCAGAAACGAAGGAGATGGCCACAGTCAATATTTACAAGGATGTAATTCAGACGTTATTTGACCGCCGCGGGTGAACGGGAGCAGCCGTCTGCGCCTGCGGGCCCGGCGGGACGTGCGCGGCGCGGATCCCTCGTGCGGGCACCAGCCGCCACTCCATGCTCTCCACAGCACCTCTCTGTCCCTGTCCTTGCCCCCGCAAGCGTGACCCCAAAGTACCTGAGTCAGCATACCGCTACCACTTGAATCCCCCCTCTCCCTACCATCGCCCTGGCCTCATTCGTTCCCGTTTTCCTGGGCTGCGGAGGCCACCGCGGAGGGTACGCGGTTCTCCGCTGGCTTGGCGCTGGAGCGGCGAGGACGGAGGGGGCAACATGCTGCGATCCCCGCTCGCCGCCCCCAGGGCTCAGCTGCCGTGAGGTCCTTCTGGGGCTCACCCCCACCCCTGCACCCCGCAATCACGGGTGCGTGACGTCACGGCCGCTCTCCGTGACGTCACACTGCCACACGCACTGGGGACAAGGTTCCTGGGAGAGGGGCAGCTTGGCATCGGGATGTAATTGTAATTTCTCCATTTGCTGACGGGAAGCAGGGGAGAGGTTGTGGAAGGACAATGCACAGAAGATGCCCCAATGTCCAGGGAGAAAAATTACTGAGTGGGAGGAAAAGACATTAACAACTTGCTGCCAGTCCCCTGCCGAGAAAACAGAAGGTAGAAAAATGTAAATAAGCACGCGAGTGCTCCTGTGCAGGCTGTGCATCCTGCACTTCCACAGACCTTTGGGAAAAGCCCTGGTAAGGCTGCCCTTCAGGGCGTGACATGGGCAGAGCATTCAGGAGCAACCTGGGGAGAAGTGATCATAAGGGAGCAGTGTGGGACAGATGCCACCTCTCAGACTGTGCTAATATGCTAATTAGGAGCTTCCCGCAAAACACGCAGCTCTGATCATTGCCATGCCCAGATGAACTGTTTATGACATGGGTAGTGTTGTTATAATTATGTCACAGCAAAAGGAGTCTTAGAAAGTGACAGGTTTGACCGAAACCAAGCTCCCGTGGGAATGTGATCTCAGTCTTTTGCAGTCTCAGACAATTGTTTGCTCTGTTGTCATCCCACTCCCCTCTCCAAACCCCTCTAGCCCAGCAGGGGTGATCCCCTGCAGGTTCTGGTCCCCAGTGCCTGAGGGGAGGTGCAGATGGGGCATGGCATGTTTCTGTGGGCTCTGCAGGCTGAGGCAGCCTCTGGAGAAGGGGCAATCTATGTACTGGCAGGGTACTGACCAAGTGTCCTTGGAAGAGCCTTCCCTCTGCCTGTCCACCGTGCTGGAATGGATGCTCATTCCTCTGTGGTGGCTCAGGAGGATCTGAGAAGGCAAAAATATTCCTTTCCTGTGTCTAGTGATGATGGTACTGTTTGGGCATGGGCTTGGAGGATCACTGCACTTGCAGAGTATGTGGCTGTCCTCAAGAACATGCGTGGTCCCCAGGAGCAGTGGAAATGTGCACTGCTCACCTGTCTGCCTGTCCAGAGCTGGGCAGGGCATGGGCATCCAGGGCAGCAGGTCGTGAGGATCTGGCAGATCCCACACCCAGAATAAATCACAGCAGCAAGAGCTGAGGGCAGAAATCACCATTTGGAAAGCAGTTCTGGAAAAAACCAAAAGTGTGTGTGGGGCAGGCATTACCAAACGTGGTGAGGCAGTGGCAGGAGCAGTTGGCACTGCAGCGCCTCACAAGCCTCTAAAGCAGTGAGATCTCCCAAATCATCACATGTAAATCTCACACACGCCCGCCCCCTCCATATTTTATTACATAGATCACAGTTGGAAAGCTTAAATGAAAACAGTGTTTCTATTTCCAGAGCTTGTTTAACATCGTGAATGTGATACAAACTGTGGGCTTCATGTTTTTAATTAAGGTTACTTACCCTTCCATGCACGGAAAAAGAAGTCAATAGTTGCTGGCCGCATACCCCAGCCTGCAGCCGGCTCCCCCGAGGATGCAGCACCGGCTGATGGAAGCACTGTGGCTCCCCTGCATCCCACAGTGGGACAGGAGCCCGGGCCACAGCAGGACTTCAGGCACCTGCCAGGCTGGAGCTGCAAAAAACTCCTGGCCATTCTTTGCAACACTCCTCTATCGGCCCATACTTCTGTGCCAGCTCCAGACAGCTGGTAGGCCAGGCTGGCATGCCAAAAAGGGGCAGCAAGGCACTTATCCAAGGGATATCGTGCAGAAAGAGCCTAAAAGTGGTGCTTTGGGTCCTCATGTGTCTCACTGGAGGAGCCAGCCTGACAGTACAAGCTTGTACTGTCAAGCTGAGAGGAGAATTTGCTCCTGAGGCTGCAAGCAATGGAGCTCCTCAGTGCCAGCCCTGCTCCAGCCCTTGGAGAGGCTGCAGCCCCAGCCCTGCTGCCTGGGCTGGGCAGACTAGAATAGCCACTGTCTTAGAGCAAGGAAGGTGTCAGTGCTCCATTCTTGGGATCAGCAAGGTCATCATACTGGGCATACAACATCTGAGGAGGGGGGAATTTATGTTGGGCCACTAGAAAACAAAGATAGGTTCTGAAATTGCCGCCTGATTTTTGCATGCAAAGACATGTGGAGAAATTATCTTTGGAAGGTTTCTCAACAAGACTGAAAGAGCACTTGAAAGACAATATGTGTGCTTTTTTTTTTTTCTTTATGGATATTTGGTTTGGATAAACTGGTAAGAAGGTGTGTTGGAATGATGTATGCAGGAAGGAAACACATCAGTGTCATCTGTGACCATCCCTAGAGCAGCTTTAGTGCTGGTGCTGCAGCAGGTAATATTGTCAGTCTGCAGGGCCAAAGACAGTGGGGACCTCTGTGAGCAAGGAGGACAACAATAGCACAAAGGTGAAGTGGGGATGGTGTCAAGAGGGTGTTCTGAAACTGATGTGACCATTAATCAAACCCTGGTTTCAATTACAAATAAAGTAAGACTGGACTGAGATAAAATGATAGACTGTAGCTCTAATGTAGCACTCAGCACAACTCAGGTATTTCCTTGCTGTGTACACCTGAGAAGGGTGTCCGCCAAGAGAGCTGGTCTGCTGTCTGCAGGCTGCTGAATGCTGCAGAAAGGTGTACCAGACATCACCTGACGAGAAAGCCAAAAGCAAGCCCTGTACAAATGCAGGAGATTTCTGGTGTGAAGGTCCAGTTCTTGCCTTCCACAAATCAGGAAGTTTTGCATGCTATTTGTGTTTGGAAAAGAGCAGGTTGAGGTTTGGTCTGGTTTGTAGAGTGGACTTGTGCTACAACATATAATATTGTAAGGGGAAGTGGCCAGGGTGCTTCAGCTGCAGGAAGAGGTCAAGCATGAAGCTGTGAGCAGGGCTTTAATCGTGGCTGCCAGGTGTGGTGAGGCTGAGACCACTCTGAAGTCGAGGACTTGAGCTTGCAAACCAAAGGAGGGGGCAGATGCCTCTCCCAAAGCTGCAGCTCGCCTCTGTTTCTCTTAGGAAGCACAGGGTCCTATGGGTGGCCTCCCTGATAACACCCTCAAACTGGGGCTAGTGGCAGCAAAAAGCCCCAGACAAACTGCAAAGCCCCCTGACATATAACTGTTGCTTTATCTAGAAGGTAGAAGACACAGTTCTGTTCCATGTATGTGCTTTGTCTTAAGAATTAATAAACAAAACCAAAAAAAATCTCCAAACTGAGATCTCAGTTATTTCTACTTCCATCTGAACATATCCCCAGAGAGTCAGAAAAACCATCTCCCAACTTGTGCTCAAGGTCTTTATTTTTTCTCACTTCTCTGCTCCACCTCCATTTTTTAT